ACCGCTGTGGTGTGCTCATGCTACTCTTCTGCACATTTTTTTTGTGCAGACCCAGGTATTTTTCGTTTGTAGCTGTGTGGGCCGACGCTGAGGAGACTCAAGGTAAACTTGCTGTTGCGGTCGCAGGCTTCGGAGTCACCTTCCTATTTTATATTCATACTGCTGTACTTATTTCCATACAGTTATGTTTAGAAGTTCTAGCGAAATTCTGTAGAGTTTATGACTTACTACTGGTTTTTGGGGTTGTAAAGTTTAAAGAGATTTTTATTTCAAATTTATTAAATGTCATTTAGATGTTGTTGTAGTTTCATTTAATATTAGGGTTACCTAGTCCTTAAGACTAGGTGCCATCACGAAACCCAACGGAGGGGAAATTGGGTCGTGACAATTATATGACATTTATTTAATGTCATTGTATCCTTACTTTCTTGTAGTGTCTAATATGATTTGTAGTTAAATTTCTATAACACATGGAGAGTATATAGTTAGCAACAAGTTATTAACTTCACAGTTTTCATGGAATGGACCAAGTCCCAATTTCTACGGTGCATGCCCGTCACCTAGCATGTGTGTCACCTCCAAACCAATCACAGTACACAAAATTCAGGATTTCATACCCTCAGAACCAGATTTAGAACAGTTACTTACCTCAATCTGAGCAAAATCCTTACTCCAATACGTCTTTTCCTCACAAATCGTCCTCCGAACGTCTCGAAACTGGCCAAAACAATACAATACAATTGACATGGGTTAAGGAATCAATTCCATAAGAAAAATAAAAGTTTTAATCAAAAATTCGAAATCAGCTCAAAACCGCAACCCCCCCCCCCCCCCGGGCCCATATCTTGGAATTCAATAAAAATTACAAAACCCGAAAGACCATTGAACCACGAGTCTAACCATACCAAATTTACTCAAATCCGATATCAAAATCCCATTCAAAACCTCAAAAATCGAGCCTAAGAACTCTTCTTCATTTTTCCCAATTTCCCACCTTAAATCACAAATTAAATGATGGAATCAAAGGCATAATCATGAAAATTAACCAAAATTAGATAGGAATCACTTATCGCAAACACCCACGCAAGAATCTCTCCAAAAATCGCCTTCTACCAAGCTCCCAATTCAATTTTGTGATATGAACTTAAAACACTCGTTTTTGAATCTTCTATTCTGCCCAAGTACGCCTCCTTCGCGAACGCGGAAGCACCCTCACGTTCGCGAAGCATAAATTGCCTCTGACCAAAAATCCCTTCTACGTGAACGCGTTCAACCACTCCCCAACTCGAACCTATACTGACCCCTCTCATCGCGAACGCGACCGCACCTCCACGAACGCGTAGATGCATGGGGTCCCTAGTTGCCCCTTCACATCTTCGTGAACGCGTTCCCCATCCCGCGTTCGCGATGCGCTCTCCGCCCAACCTCCGCGAACGTGTCCTCTTCTTCGCGAACGCGAAGAGCAATATTTTCTCAGCATCCAGATGCACTTCGCGAACGCGAGACCATTCCCACGAACGCGTAAGAGGAAACCTGAACCAGCAAAAACCAGAAATCTTCAGCCAACATGCCAAGTCAAAAAAAAAGATCCGCCAACTATCCAAAACTCACCTGAGGCCCCCAGGACCTCAACCAAACATACCATCAAGTCCCATAACATAATATGAACTTAGTCGAACCTTCAAACCACCTCAAACAACATCAAAAATACGAATCGCACATAGATTCAAGCCTAATGAACTTTGAAACTTCCAATTTCTACCAACGACGCCGAACCTTATCAAATCACGTCCGATTGACCCAAAATTTTACATACAAGTCACAAATGACACCACGGACCTGCTCCAACTTCCGGAATTGGAACCCGACTCTGATATCAAAAAGTCCACTCCCAGTCAAATTTTCCAAAAATTCAGCTTTCGCCATTTCAAGCTTAATTCCACTACGGACCTCCAAATCACAATTCACATACGCTCCTAAGTCCAAAATCACCCGACGGAGCTAACGGAACCAACAAAACTCAAATCCGGGGTCGTTTACATATAAGTCAACATCCGATCAACTTTTCCAACTTAAGCTTTCCATTATGAGACTAAGTGTCTCAATTTACTCCGAAATCCTTCCTAACCCGGTAAGTCATAAAACAACAATAAAGCACAAAATGATCAGTAAATGGGGGAACCGGGCTATAACTCTCAAAACAACCGGCTGGATCGTTACACACCCTCTAGCTTGAGGGGGAGTGTGAGAATGAAGGAATCGACTATGTAGTGCTATGTGATGAGCTAGCTGTCAAGTTAGTTAAGACAGCTGGCAGTTAGTGCTGGCAGCGTTAGTTGATGTTGTTAGAGTTAGTTACCAATAGTTAGTGATCTTAGCTTAAATAAGTAGAGGTTAGTTGTGTCTATAAATACAGGGTTTTATATGTTATTGTTTGCACAATCAAATACACAGAAAAGTTTCCTGCTTTATTTCTCTTTCCTTCTTCTTCTCCCTTGCACGATACTGTTACATTGCTCCATTATTGGAGTTCATGACCTAGCTCAATTGAAGCTCAACTCACATATATATATATATATATATATATATATATATATATATATATAGGATCATCCGGCAAACGCATACACGTGAACAGGAACATCCATGACACAGTTGAAAGCTTTAGTACCAGACCTGTTCATTGAACATATATATTTTCCATTTGATTACTTGTGCACTTGAAAACCTTTGCTACTTATTTCTAGCAGCAGTTTTAACAACACAACTTGGTTTCCTATCGAAATTCGGAAGCAATCTCTGCTGTAAGTTGAGCAGGAGCAATGCTACATAGCCAAATTCAGCTCATTATTCCAAACCGCCAAAAGGAAAGTCTTGACAAGCAGTTTAAATTAAATGATGTTAGCCATGATGGTTTTCAATAGGTACTACCTTTAATTTAGGTGTCCAAATGGAAAACAACGGCCAAATTTAGAGCAGTCAAAATGGGCCGGTCCCGTGAGGCCAGCTCAATCTAGTCCGCTACTTGGGTAGGATTGGGCTAGAATTTTTTGAGCCCATTTAAAATTGAGGCTTATAAGCCCGGCCTAAGTCAGCTCGTTGGCCCTTGAGGCTTGACCGAGGCTGGGTCTGGGTCGGCCCGTCGGCTAAAAATTAATAAATATTTAATATTTAATATTTAAAAAAGTAAAAACTAAAAAAATTATTAACTATAATCCCCATTCGCAACCCTACCATTCGCAACCCTAGATTGCTCATTTACCCTTCCATATCAACTAGAATTTAGATTTTTGACATGCATGTAATATGACAAAATTAGTTTTTCTTTTGTTTAATTAATTCGAAATATTTTAGGTGGCCAATAATAATCTTTTTTCAAAAGAAAATATTACTTTAAGTGACCCATGATCAGTTTGGATTACTTTAATATATATTATTAATATTTAAAATGCTCTTCCGTAAAGAAAAAGATCAATTTTAAATACACACAAAAAAATTGACAACTAGCAAGTTTTAGGAATTTTAAAATTTTTATGGATTATAATGATGAAATCAGCAAATGATATTATCCCTAAATTAAAAAACCTCGGCATATAAACTTATTGAAGCAAGCTCTGAATATCAGGAAAATGAAAGAAAAGTATTAAGAAAATATTCATGTAACTTTAAAAAAGAAGAGATAGAGATATAGAGAATTTGCATTTCAATTACGAGATTCCTCGTCAAATATCAAGCTTTTTGTACACTCTAAGCAAACATAAATTGTTTACATGATTAATCGACTATATCACGAAAAAATATTTAAGAATTTAAAGAAATTCTTTTCTCCAAAAAAAAAATTTGAAGGCCCAGCCCGTCCTAACCCGCCGCCCTCTTAGGGATGGGTTGGGCTGACCATTTTAAGGCCCATTCATATGACGGGCAGGCCCGTCCTAGCCATCAAATTTAAAAGCCCACGAGACTTGGGATGGGTTAGCCCATTTTGACAACTCTAGCCAAATTTAAGGGGTTGCACATGTATTCAGCCTTTTTAGAACTTCACAGGACGAGTATATAAGAATGTTGACACATCAAGCTAATTGAATCTCATAATTTATGGTATGTTATTGTGTTGGACTAAACTAGTCCAAATACACTCTTAATATGGTGTTATATTATTGCTTTGGGTCAAGCGTGCACGATTTTTCCCATAAGGCCTCACACCATTAAGAGATCCCAATCTTTTCAGTGTGAGACTTTTTTCGCACACCCAACATATTGGTTCTTATGAGTTGAAGGATTTGTTCAATACGTTCTTAGTCCGAATCGACCAAGGATTTGAAATTCTATTTTACTCAACTATATTTGTTGATAAATATTTAAGCACTTTATTTTTTAGAAGAAGAAGATGAGGGATTCACATTACTAGTTCTTGAAGTGGATAGAGCCTGTATTCCACGAATTCAGTTACATATGAGTAAAATTAATAAAATTTTAATATTTACTTAATTTTGAACGTAGAATTTTTAAAAATCCAATAAGAATTAAAATTAAGGACTTTATAGATTGAAGACGTGGAATTAACTCCTGGATTTGTGTGTTTGATTACTTGTTAAGTTATTAAAAATAAGCCAGTACTATAATATAATCTTTTAAGATGTGCGGCGGGCCGCCGGCCATCATTATTGTTCTCTCTTAGCCATCATTGTTCGCACCTCTTCCTATGCCTTTTGCTTTCTCTACATTTTATTTTATCCATATAGATTGCTTTCCGGTTTGGTTTAGTACTTGTTATTTGTATACTATCGTGTTAATGAGATTAAATAATTGACTAATTAAATGTAAATTAATTTTAGTAACTTTTTTCATTTACAGTAAAGGACGTGGGGTGTAATTATTTCCCCAAACTTCTAAACAAACACTTTTTAGTCCTTTACAAAGTGGCAAAAGCTGGAAATTCCACTATAACTCACATGGACGGCTTATTTCTATTTTGAATTCCACCATTTCCATAATATTCTAGTCGTTAAGAAGTTTCCAAAGTTCCATAATACCCCTAAATTCTGTCTATTATTCCGCTAAGCCTTCCTCTAAACACCAGTATCATCACCCAAAAAGCAAAAGGGCTAAATCCGTCATTTCATTTCTGTCTATTTAATCACGCTTCTACGCTCCCTCCCTTTTTTCGTTCCTTTTTGTGTCTCTCTCACACAAACACACACTTTACTCTGTTTATGCACACACATAAAAGATGTTTCTGTTTCTGCCCAAAATAACTTCAATTATTCAATGGTGCTTTTGGAATTTGGAGCACTCTATGTGATAGCTACACGCCTATAGTAAGGAATTTTCGTTCCATCAACTTTTGTCCCGTTTACTATTTGCGCAGTTTTTTGTGCAATTATGGAGTCGGTGTTGGAGTTTCTCTTGCCATCATGGTGGGAGGTGCAAGTCACCGTCTTCGCGGCGGCCTTCATTGTTCTCTCTTGCTGGTTCTTCACCCTCGACGGAGATGACATAGTTGATTATCGCACTCGGGTTGACGGTTCTGGTATTGTCAGTAGCGTCACTAAAGTGGAGGATGATCCAGCATATAGAGTAAGTGGGTTCGAATTAAGTAGAATATACTCCCAATTTATATACACATACATTTTCCTTTCATTAGTTCAAAGGAGTTTAAGTTATATACACTGTCAAGTGTCAATATAATTAAAGAATTGTAGCAGTTAACCTGTCTTATTTTTAAGATTATAAATCCTGCATTTTAAGGAGGCTTACCTGTACAAATCCTTTCGGTGGTGTAGCTAACATAGGCTCATTATGAAATAATGTCAAAGTCATCTTCCTGCGTCCTATCCTCTTGTAAATAAAAATTTGAGTTAGTTAAAACGAGCATTAGAAGTTGTCATTGTGACGAATTTTATTCCAAATTGGAAGAGTACTGAGTTTAGAAGATGAAGTAGAGATCACTGGCCTAGCTTCTCTAATAATGAGGGATGATATCCACATAGTTGATAAGTATACTTATTTGTATTTGCTTTAGTTGTAACTTGCATCTATTATTCGGCAACTTTAGGACCTAACTCTAGACATTGTTATAAGAGTTCAATCAGTTGTTGCGTTGTTTCTCAAAAATCGTGTGTGCTTCGTCGAATTTATGATAAGCTGAAATTTGATTTTGCATGGTCCAGTTATCATATTTCCAATGACGAAGTACCACGCAAAAGTCTAATCCTGATTCCGAATTAAGAAGTTAACAGGAATATCTAACTTTCTTAGGAAGGAAATGATACCTTGATTGAAATTTATAATCTACTTTTTCGTTTTCATCATGTGATTTTCCACCTCTTTGACATACAGTTGTGCACTTATTTTGTAGATGTGCCAGTTAAAAAGGGATGCTCAAACTAATTCTGCATATGTAATCAAGGTATATTTGAACTTCATGTTCATGCACTAAATATAACTCCATCTCTGGATTTGGTTCATTGTACAGTATTGCTATTAGTTGCCATGCTTATTGCATTAGAATATTCATGTGATGGCCATATCTGCAACTCATAGTTGACTACTTGTACTTTGTCGTATGTTTCAGGTTGAATTGTTGGCTGCTAAAAATCTTATTGCTGCTAATTTGAATGGGACTTCAGATCCATATGCAATCATCACTTGTGGGAAACAAAAGAGATTTAGGTGGCTACCTCTATTTTATTGCCCTATGATCTTGGCGCAGTGGTTTGCCTTGTCTATGAGTAGTTATGAGTATGCTTTTTCTATTATTGATGATTCTCGAACCAGCTTCCATCATCAAAGATCGCATGTGTCACGATATTCTTGCACGAATATACATATGTTTAATGGATCATGCAAACATAAATGATTGGTTGATTTGGTCCATTCTGATTGATATTCAAATTTGTTTAGATAAGCATGTTTTTTTAATTAATGTGGAAAGCAATTTGAACCTTCTTTTTCATGTTCGTCTCTTTCCTTTGATTGAAAGTGCATGCAAGTTCTAACCTTCTACCTGATATGATTCTGTCAGTTACTTGTGATCTTTGAGTTTTTTATCGAACATTTTTGGAATAAAGAATAATATGTACTATGAGACTCTCACAACTGTGGCTAAGTAAAATGAACTCACTCCTTTTGATATAATATGAAGGAGAAACCAGACCTTTTGATACTTATATTGTTGGTTAGCTTAGTTTTGAGATTGTCTTTGCTCCACTACATTGTGTTGTAATAGTCGACAGTCAAGTCGAGTGCGAGCTAACCTTCTTTTTTGGTGATTGGTTTTTTCAACAATGTGTACAATGAGGATGGGGAGTTACAGAAAGTAACTATCTCTTCAGCATGCTTTTCACTCCTATATTACACATGTTTCAATTTATGCTCTTCAAAGTGTTGCAGTTCAATGGTTCCTGGTTCAAGAAATCCTATGTGGGGGGAGGAGTTCAACTTCTCTGTTGATGAGCTTCCAGTAGAGGTAGCTGCCCAATAAATCTTTTGACATAAAGCATGAACTTACTGCAGTCTGTTTTTTGTAATCATTTTCAGATTTTTGTGTGCTGTATTTGCTGTTTGATTACTTTAACATTTAATAATATATTGGTTTCGTGTTTTTATTATCTTTTTGTAATGATTTCTTTTTCTTGATTGTGTGACAGATTAATGTGACAATATATGATTGGGATATAATTTGGAAAAGTGCTGTTCTTGGTTCAGTGACTGTAGCTGTTGAAAATGAAGGTCAAACTGGTGCAGAATGGCATACATTAGACAGTTCATCTGGGCAGGTATTATTGATTACTTTATCCTCTTTTCCTAGAAATAACATCATTTATTGTGGATGTTTTAGTGGTTGTTCTTTTACAGAGTTTTGGCTGTTGTTTTTTTCTTTTTCAGGTTTATCTTCATATTAAAACTTTAAAGCACAATGTCAATTTTTCAAGGTGCTCTTTTGCTCCCTTTTCTTTTAGGATCTTACATTATTTCTTATTTGAATGTCAACCATCTTTATGGGACTAGTGTTTTATATTTGAATACATAATCAGCTATTTGTCCACTCATAGGTTCCTTCTTTTGGTCAAATGTACATACTCTTTCAAAGAGTTGAGTTGGGGATTTACGTGCTATTAGAGATTTTGTGATAGGATCGCTTACCAATATTACACATGGTTCCCCCAATCTGTCAAGGTTTTGCTTATTTGGTGAGCTACTATAAAGCATTTGTGGCTCGAGAATACAGTGCAACCTCGAAACTTGAGTTTGTGCACAGTGTAAAATGTGGCATGACCAGCTTCTGAATAAGTTTCTTTAATTGTTTGGTGAACTTGGTTCTATTTGGATAGTTTCTACGGTTTTTTATCATTCAACATTATTTTTCGGTGCCACAGTTGCAGAATATAGTTACTTAGCTGCTATTAGGAGGGGGGGTGCTTTCCCTCTTGTTCAGCTCATTATTCAATAGTACGGAAGTATATATATGTAATACACAAGTGATAGATATCAATTTGTTTTTCATGCTTGCAATAGGTGGATAGTGAGAAAAATGGAGAATCGGGAAGAATTAACCAGGTAACAAAACACTCATCACTTAATGAGAAAAGGTGGGAATAGGGGAGATAAAGAGCGAGGCATGAATGTTGATCCTTTAATCATCAAATGATAACTCTTGACGGAGATATATTTCTGTTAAAGCTTTACTTGGCAATGCTTTGATGACACTTAGAGTTCAGGAAAAAGAAAATAATTTTTAAGCAATGCTACGAGCATTATTCACACTCTCTGAAGTGTCACATGGGTATTGTTTATGGTCGGATTTTCTCTCTGTTGTTGGAAGATTCTTGATCCCTCAGAGAATCATGTAATTACTTATGGTTCATTACTCTGTTCCTCAAAAATATTAGTGTTCATCTTAGCTGAAAGATAATACTCTTATTCCCCCTTCTTCATTTGGTGGTTTTAGAGGTTTGAACGGCTATGCTAATACTCGTAGACGTATTGCTTTGGATAAAGAAGGACCAACTGTTGTTCATCAGAAACCTGGGCCGCTGCAAACAATATTTGATCTCCCTGCTGATGAGGCAAGTGCTAAGTTTTGACTGATAAAGGACTCTTGGTTTGGAAGAACTCTAAGGTGGAAATTTTGGACTGTTGTGAGTCAGTTCTTTGCTAATCAATGTAGTTATTTCAGGTTGTTGAACATAGTTATTCATGTGCTCTAGAAAGGTCATTCTTGTATCATGGCCGTATGTATGTTTCGACATGGCATATCTGCTTCCACTCAAACGTATTCTCAAAGCAAATGAAGGTCAGATCCTCTTTTGATTGTACCTCGTGATATTCTACTTTGTGGATCAACTTTTTACCTAAAATTTTCTAAGCTAAATGCTTATGATTAAGTTGTTTTCTCTGTTGAATTACATCCCATTGACTTCCATGAGTTTGTTCTGGGTATTCTACATTCCTGCCAGAAGCGTAGTTCAAAATTTTGTAGTATCACCCTGCCTGTGGATATCTTGAAATGGAGCAAGGTTTATGAGGAAAGATTGCTAATAGCAGTTTTTAATGGATGAATGTTGGATAAAGGGATTTTAATCTGAATAGAGACTATTTGCATTTTTTAATTTCTCAAGGTTATGTGGATATATATATCCTATTCCTTCCCTTTCTAAGCATAGAAAGAACTGGTAACGACTGTACTATTTTGATTTTGGTAAATGAATCTCAATAATACTGAAATTGGTTAGTTTATTTAACCATGCTTACTGCATTTGCAGGTAATTATTCCTTTAGCGGAAATAGATGAGGTACGATATTCTCCTTGTTTTTTATCATGATCTGTTCTTCCAAGTTGTCAGTGTGCTTGGAATTTAGCTGGGCCATTTGCAGAAATCAGCAAGAGTATTATTTTTCTTTTAGATAAGGAGGAGCCAGCATGCATTTGTTAATCCTGCTATTACAGTAATTCTCCGCATGGGTGCTGGCGGCCATGGGGTGCCTCCGTTAGGAAATCCGGATGGTTAGTATTTTAACCTAATCTTTTAACCTCATTTTTCATTTCACTAGAAACACATTTTCTTTTGTTTTAAAAGAAACAGGAAGTTGGCAAGCTGTGAGTGAGCGTCTTCTCGCTATAAAGACTTAAGAGCTGATGGAAAAACTCTATTTTGTATTGAATAGCAAGCTGAGTATATATACAAGTTTACCTAAGACTACTCCTTGTATTAGGAGGCTTATTCAACGTAAAGGCTATCAAAATAAACTAACTGATAGATACTCTCAATGAGAGGATAACTTTAGATCTACTTGTGTAACTAAAAGGATAAACATAAAAGATAAAGACTACTAGATGAGAATTCACAACAATCTGGTAAGAGGAACTGGTGTTCCAATAAGCCCCCCTCAAGTTAGGCTATGTGGCACTAAGCCTAACTTGAACAGATTCCGGTCAAAGGCTGGCTTGGCAAGGGCTTTGGTGACCGTATCAGCAAGTTGGTCAGCAGAGTGAACATGAACAACTCGAACCAGCTTTTCTTCAACATGGTTGCGCACAAAATGAAAATCCACCTCAACATGTTTCATGCGACTATGAAGGACAGGATTCTTGCTTAGGTAAGTGACACCAATGTTGTCACAGTAAATTGTAGAGATATCTCTGACCGGGAGCTGCATCTGAAGCAATAGGTTTCTAACCCACAGAAGTTCAGCAAGAGCATTGGCAACAGCTCTATATTCAGCTTCAGTTGATGAGCGAGCTACAGTCTTCTGCTTTTTCGAGGACCAGCTGATGGGGTTTGGGCCAAGAAACAAAATATAACCAGATGTTGAGGATCTGTCAGTGAGATGTCCAGCCCAGTCGGCATCAGAATACATGTGCAAATTAAAGTCAAACTTGGGGGACACGCGCAAGCCAAATTGAAGTGTACCACGAAGGTACCTGAGAACACGTTTCACAGCCTTCCAATGAAGATCAGATGGTGATTGCATAAACTGGGACAGTTTATTGACTGCATAGGCAATGTCCGGCCTCGTAAAAGATAAATATTGAAGTCTGCCTAGGACTCGACGATAGCGAGTTGCATCTGTTAACTGAGCCCCATCATTAAGTTTAAGTAACTCGGAGGCACTCATTGGTGTTTTCGCACTCTTGCAGTCAGACATCAATTCATCACTTAGGATCTCATTGACATAATTGGCTTGGGATAGAATAATTTCATCAGAACTTCGAATCACCTCAACACCAAGAAAATAATGAAGATTACCCAAGTCTTTAATTGAAAAGCGAGAGGCAAGAGAAGCTATAACCTCATTCACAGTGATAGGATTGCTGCCGGTAACTATAATGTCGTCAACATACACCAAAACAAACATGAGTCCAGCATGGTTGTGCCTAATGAATAAGGAGTTATCTGATTCAGTCTTGACAAATCCCATTGATGAAAGATGGCCTTTGAGTGCATTATACCAAGCCCGAGGCGCTTGCTTCAGGCCATAAATGGCCTTGCGCAACTTACAGATATGGGTCGGATAATTATCACAAGTAAAGCCCGGAGGTTGCATCATGTACACCTCCTCTTCAAGGTCGCCTTGAAGGAATGCATTGTTAACGTCGAGTTGACGGAGAGGCCATTGAAATCAAAGGGCAACAGCAAGAATGATTCGCACAGTAGTGGATTTGACCACCGGACTGAAAGTCGAGTGAAAATCAACACCAGGCCTCTGAGTGAATCCTTTCGCAACCAATCTCGCTTTATAGCGATCAACTGAACCATCCGCCTTCCTTTTAATCCTGAAAAGCCACTTGCAAGAAACAACATTTTTAGATGGATCATTCAAAACTAATCCCAGGTACTGTTATTTAGTAAGGCATCAAATTCGTGTTTCATTGCTGCTTTCCACTCGGGATGTTTCTGGGCTTGTTTGAAGGTATGAGGTGTGAGAATGGGACTGAGGTGAGCAAGGTAGTCAAAAATTTGTTTTGGCTTATGAATATTATTTTGGGACCTGGTGATAATGCGATTTGGGGGTGTGGGGCAGGGAGGTGGAGATGGGTTAGCAAGTTGTACTGAAAGTGGCGTGATGGTAGATGCTTGAGGAAGCAGATTTGCTGGTGAATTTTGGTTGGCAGAGCAGCGTCGATAGACGAGGAGAGGGGGCGACTGACTTGGGAATGTATTGGGCACTTTTAGAGGTGAATTTGCCGGAGAAGAAGAAGAAGAAGAAGGAGGTACATAGGAAGGTGGGGCTGGGCAGCGGGAATCTTGGGGGGATAAGAAATTGGAGAGAGATGGATACTTACCTGAACCAGAAGTCTGTGACGGGCATGATTCCACAGATGCCGCTGGTGTGTCGCCGGAAAACATGGAGGGATGAGTTTGTGGTGTAGGAGATGGATGGGAGGGGGACTCTGTTGAAGCAGGGGAATTGGACTCTCTATCGTTGTTTGTGGGTATTAAAATAGGATGGGGCAATTCTGAAATTATGGGAAGTGTAGGGCTGGATTTAAAATTCTCTCTATGTATAAGTTTATGCCACTCCAGATGATGTGATTTAAGTGCAATATTAGAGAATAAACTTTTAAAGGGAAAAATATTCTCAAAAAACTGCACATCACGAGACAGATAAATTTTGGCAGAAACTGGATCAAAGCACTAATGACAGTGATGACTTAGAGAAAAACCTAGATAGACACATGGTGCGGACTTTGGTTCAAGTTTATTCTTCGAATAAGGTTTTTGCCACGGATAACATAAACACCCAAAAATTTTAGGTGAGTCATAATTGGGTATTTCACCAAATAATTTTTGAAATGGAGACATATTATTTAAAAGTGATGTTGGAAGGCGATTAATCAGATAAACAGCATGATGGCATGCAAATGACCAAAAAATTGGTGGAAGTGAAGCCTCGTGAAGTAGTGTTCTTGCAGTTTCGATGATATGTCGGTGTCGTCGCTCTGCAAGAGCAACTCTTTGAGGCGTATATGGTGGGGTAGAGAGATGTTCGATACCATGAAGAGAGAGATATGGATCAAGACTTTTATATTCTCCTCCACCATCAGTGTAAAGTGATAAAATCTTGGTGCCGAAATATTTTTCTACCAATGGGTGAAATTTTTGAAAAAGCTCTTTGACCTCACTTTTATTTTTTAAGGTGTACAACCAGGTATATCTCGTGAATTGATCAACAAACAAGCAGTAATACAATTTTTTATCAAGAGATAAAACTGGGGAGGGTCCCCATAAATCACTAAAAATAACCTGAAGAGGTTTAGAACTATTTAGAGTCAAAGTTTGAAACGGATGCCGATGGGCTTTATTAGACGAACATGAATTACAAAAAAATGATTTGTCTCGTTCAGAGAAAGGAAGAGAAAATTTATTCAAAATGTACTTAAGAACTCTAGAATGTGGATGACCCAGTCTTTGATGCCAAGTTGTCATGGAATCTGTAGTGGAGGACATGTGAACTTGTGGAGTCGAATTGGGCCATTCGTACAATCCATTTTTATTCCGGCCGCACACCAGTGGTACCGCGTTTTCAGATCCTTCACAAGAAAACGAAAAGGAAAGAATTCAACAGAGGTTAGATTGTCTTGACAAAATTTAGAAACAGAGATGAGGTTACGTTTAATAGCTGGGGCACATAAAGTTTGAGTAAGCTTAAAAATATTATTTGATGCCTTTAACTGAGTGGAACCAGTATGAGTTATGGGAATTTTTTTACCGTCACCCATAGAGACGTCCTCATTGCCATGATATTCTTGAAAATTATGCGGCGCAGTGGTGATGTGGTGAGTGGCACCGGAATCTACAATCCACGGATTGGCTGTAGTGGTGAAGCCAGATATGTAGTTGGCTTTGGCCTCAAAATGATTGTGAGACTTGGATCGGCAGACACTCGCGACGTGGCCAATCTTGTTGCATAACTGACAGCGAATAACGTTGATGTTAGCATTATTCGGGGGCTGCCATTGTGGTGGAGCATTGGAGCGGGTATTCTGACGCCATTGTTGATTGTTGTTGTTCTGGCGACGATTGTTGTTGGTGTTGCGAGTGGCAACTGCAGCAGTGATCGGACTGGAACTTTTCTTAGACTCTTCATGGCGAACGAAGAGTTCATGATCAAGCAACTTTTCATATAGTTCTTCATAGGTGACAGTGGTGTCACGCGAGCGAATAGCAGCAGAGATTTCACGAAACTCAGGACCAAGACCGCTAAGGATTTTGACAATGAGCTCGGAGTTTGACACAGGGGCACCAGCAGTGGCTAGTTCATCTGAAAGAGACCGAATAGCTTGAAGATATTCGGTAATGGAGCGAGAGTCTTTGGTGATCCGGGCAAGTTGATCACGCAGGCTAAAGATTCGGGTTTGGGACCTATTTGCATAAGCAGTGTGCAAGGCGTCCCAAGCCGTCTTAGATGAGTCTGCCGCAGCAACCGTGGAGGCAATGGTGGGGTCAACAGAAGCCATAAGGGCATTTTGAATAAGTTGGTCTTGACGAAACCAAGGTGCGTAGGCCGGGTTGGGGGATATGTTTGTACCAAGGGTGATAGTACGGTTAGGAGTCGGGCTAGATCCATCAAGGTGACCATAAAGGTTATGGCCGTGCATAAGCATGGAAAACTGAGCTTTCCAAGTGGCGAAATTGTGGCTGCCACTAAGTTTGATAGGTAATTGGGAGGCGGGATTGAATTGAACTATGGTATTGGTGCCAGCGGTGTTGTCCGCATTAACAACTCTGAGATTGTTTCCATTGTTTGCCATTGAAAAAGGAATTTGGTGTAGAGAAAAAAAAACTGATCGTACTCGTTAGAGCTGTATAGGCTCAGATACCATATAAAGACTTAAGAGCTGATGGAAAAACTCTATTTTGTATTGAATAGCAAGCTGAGTATATATACAAGTTTACCTAAGACTACTCCTTGTATTAAGAGACTTATTGAACGTAAAGGCTATCAAAATAAACTAACTGATAGATACTCTCAATAGATACTCTCAATGAGAGGATAACTTTAGATCTACTTGTGTAACTAAAAGGATAAACATAAAAGATAAAGACTACTAGATGAGAATTCATAACAATCTGGTAAGAGGAACTGGTGTTCCAATACTCGCTAGGTTTCAATCTTTGATATTTTATGAGAAAATTCTATGATATCACCATTGGCACTGCTAGCATTATCATGCAAGATTAGAAATTCTACCTAAGTATTTTCTCCATCCCAAAATAAATGTTCTTCTTCCACCATTGACACAAAATAATGTATACTTCTCGAGAAACTAAGATTTTACCTTACACTATATAATACAAGTTGGGACCCGGTTATTTTTTAACTTCCGAATATTCTCAATACGACATGTTCCTATTTCTGCTAAAGAAAGACTGGCTCAACCTATCAGCCCGACATGTTTCTCCATTATCGAGAAACTACTTTCTTACAATCTTGTCAACTGAAAACTAGACATCCAATTTGGAGAAAAGGGAGGTGGTTTGTTTTGCTTATGTTAGATAGTTGAATTTGAAATTTAGATTCTGGATGTATTACGACCGATATGCTAGTCACCTAGTTTTCTTCACTTTCAGGTAGAGTAAGATATAAATTCGCATCTTTTTGGAATAGGAATCATGCGTTAAGAGCCTTGCAACGTTCAGCAGATAACTATCATGAAATGCTAGAAGCTGAGAAGAAGGTTATATTTTATTTTCTTTCTGTGCTTTTAGTTGGTCCTTTTTCTGATTGTTAAATCTGAGAAAATAAGCACTCCTGGTTATCATATATCCATAGTGAATAGTGATACAACCACCCATGAATCAAATTGAATATTTAACCTTAGCTGTCTTAAAAACATTTATGTATTCAATAAAAGAGGTATTCTGAAAGCTGAGATGTATGACAGCGTTGAATGCATTAGCATTCATCACATATGGGTTTTCCTTCTGTCAATGAAATCTCTAGTTAATTGCACCACTGAGCATAAACAAAGATGTTTTTTGTGTTTATGGAACTTCCTCTTTATCAAAAAAGTTGCACGGCATGGTTACCATATTTATTTGTGCTCAAGGAAAGAACCTTCCATATGAAGATTAGTTTGATTACCATATCCAGTACTTCAAAGAGCTCTCTTTTGGTAGCATAAATTTAATGTAACAACGCTGAAGCATGTCAGTGTCCCTTCTGGGCACCAAAATCAGGAAGAAAAAAAAAAAGAAACAGCAAAGAAAGAGACTAGTATGAATGTATTGAGCTGGCATTGTCTATCTTATTTCTTTGGGTTCCTTCTGTTCATAATGAATTCCCCAAAGCCTCCATATTAATTGCATCTCTATCATGGATTATAATCTTTATGCAAGTTATCCTGGATGTCTATGTTTAACAAGGGGAGAAGAAGCATGAGGCCTTTGATGTTACGAACAATTTGGCTTGCTGAATTATCTCTGTTATGTGAAGGCTTTACATTTTAGTAGCTCTCTGTCATCGTTCTTTGCCTGTTTAGGCAGCATGCCAGTAATCATTTTGCAAAATAATACTGCTTTGTCTACTAGATATCAGTTTCCTGATTGCTTACTTCCATTCTACGTCAATGGTGCTATGTAGTTATATTTTATCTGTAAGCTTCTTGAAGCAACATGTTCTGCAGATTCTTTATTAATCTCGGCATGTTTTGTATTCACCGTTACAGCTAGAACATCAGAACATTTTCTTTACTTTAGCTTTAAGTTGTCTCTAACATAATTTTTACTTTTTAGGTTTAAATTGTCTCTACCTTTTAGACTTTGGCTTTTCATGACTTTTCTTTTAATATATCTTAAATTTCCCTCTTTTCTCTCTGTAGGAGATGGAACAGTCGGCACTGCGTGCACATAGCAGCTCGGTTAAAGGATGTAAAAAGATGGAATTAAATCAGGAAGAAAGTGTGACCAAGATTCAGAAATGTCAACCATTTATTAAAGAAGAAGTCCTCTCTGGTATATATGATGTATGTAAGATATTTAATCTTACTTTTTTGGGACTAGAACTTCTTTCCATGATTTATGACGCTCTTAAATTTTACAAGGATGTTTTGCCATGCACAGCCGAGCAATTTTTTGACTTGCTATTGGCTGATGGTTCAAATTTCACTAATGAATACCGTGCAGCAGGGAAAGATTTCAATCTCAATGTAAGCCCCATATTCTATTTAGTATAAAAAATGTTTATGACTCATGCTTCTTTATACATTTCTGATTTGAACTAGATTATGGAACTTTTTGTTCGAGAATATGCATTATTTTGGGTGGCATATGAATTATTGTTCCAGGAGTAAACTGTTCTGCACACAATTTATGAAGTTTCGGGGTTATCTTTTGCCTGGAGATATTACTGTGTTTCATTTAGTTCTGCTCAGAGATTAGAATAACTACGAAAGTAAATTACTTTGGCCTCATTATGCTTTTCACATCTCAACGGAAATTGCTTTACTTCAGTTGCTTTCGCTTGACTCAAAATATTGAATGTCTTTCTTCTCCGTAGATGGGTGAATGGAATTCTGCTGATGAATATGATGGTCAAGTCAGAGAAATTACTTTCAGAACCATATGTAATAGCCCTATGTGCCCTCCAGATACAGCCGTGACAGAGTATCAACATGCTGTTTTATCGCTGGATAAAAAAGCTCTTGTAATTATCATATCTCACCTTCAATGTTGTATGTTACCGGTCATGTTTATGCTTACCATTTTCGTATTTTCCCTTAGGTATTTGAGACTGTTCAACAGGCCCATGATGTGCCGTTTGGGTCATGCTTTGAGGTACTAATGACTTTGGGTGTCAGGCCATGATCTTTTCCCGGACTATTGTATGGAATTCCTTATACATTAACTCCATCCTAGACTGCTCCTCATCTTAATCCCTGATTAGATTTGCTATTCAATCAGGTACACTGTAGGTGGTCGTTAGAAACAACTTCTGAATCATCCTGCACTTTGGACATAAAGGCCGGTAAGTTTCTTCTATCCTGGTTTCTTGTTCTTCTGGATGTGTACAAGCCACTATCCATTGATCACCTTTGCTTGTAGAAATGAATCTATTGTCCCTGTTCACTTCTCCCATTTTATGGGTTAAAGGATGATGTGTATTTTTCACTTTCTGCAGTTGCATTGAAAAAGCAGTTTTGGCGGGGCGGGGGGCGCCTCTTTGGCTATGAAAGATTCTTGCATTAAAAAGAGAGCCAGAATGTTGTTTCTAAATGGCTCAAGTAGTGGTTTATCACCAGGAATATGTCTACAATTTAAGTAGTTGAACTAGCCTACCACTTAAAACGTATATTTAGGGTATCTTCTAACTTATCATTTTGCTTATCATCTATTATGCTTTTGGGCAAATCATCTGCCTATCACTCTAATTTACATTCTCACTAGACTCTTACAGAGAATTGATACCCTTGTCATTCATCACACTTGGATTTAATTAGATAGGAAGCTGTTTTCCTGGTGCAATGATGAGTTCAGCGCTTATGAGTGCTTTCACAGATGTTGTGCTTGACCAAGTTTCACCTTCCAAGCTTGTTTGATCTGACTTGCTGTTGGATTCTCTCTTTGAAACCCTAGAGATATCATATTTATGTTTTCGTTCGGACGGCTAAATACTGAATCTCTAGCACGTGACACTGTTATTTTTCTGGTGAGTGGCAAGCATGAAACAGTTGAATGCATAATTCGGAGCTGTGATTTTCTTGACCTAAATTTCTCTACTTGAATGATCCTGAAGATTAGTTCAAAAGTCAAAATTTGCACATCCTTAAGAATGCGGATGTGATGCGAAGTTAAGCTAACTTCAGCAATTTGGATTTTCAACAGGTGCACATTTCAAGAAGTGGTGCATTATGCAGTCTAAAATTAAGTCAGGAGCTATTAACGAGGTATTATTTAGCTGTCTGTTAGTTATTATGTTCATTCGTTTTATTAACTGAGCGGTTAATTTCCTTGGACTTAATGTGATGACTTCCCCCCCTTACACTCTTCAATCACTTATGCAGTACAAGAAAGAGATGGCAACAATGTTGGAGGTGGCTCGTTCATTTGTTAAACCAAGAGTATCAGTGAGTGAAATAGAAAATGTCAAACCAAGAGTATCAGTGAGTGAAATAGAAAATATCATCTCCACAACACAATCCTTGTATCAACATTGTAACCTATCTCCACCAAGGAGATCCAATGTCCGTCTTTGTAATACGTGAAGATGCAACTCTTTATTTAATGGAATACTATTTTATCTGATATCTGATATCTGCAAATCTTCTTTTCCAAAGTTGCTCTCTTCTACGGGAAATATCAGTGCAAATCTTTTATTGTTACAGGCTTAGCAACTCAACTTTCATCTCATTTTCATTTCATGTCTTCCTATAAACTATTTTAAGACCCCAAAATTTTAGACAGTTGTCGAGCATGTCCTATGAATTTCAAAAGGGTAAGCTATGCTATCGCAAGGGAGTAAATTATCCATCTTTGTAAATTGGGATATCGGGGAATTACTTTTTCTCCTCTACACTTTTTGATATATGATCTGGATTCTAGAACCTAAAGAATCTATTATAAACAGTGTGAAAGAATGAAGTGGAATGAAAGATGATGCAACAAATGGATATGAGCATTTTTTGGTCAATCTAATGGTATTCTAACGAGTTAGCCAAATGAAGCAGAATTGAGAAATGATTCTGATAAACAAAAGCTCTGCGCAACAAATGGATATGAGCACTTTTGGTCTATCTAATGGTATTCTAACCAATTAGCCAAACGAAGCAGAATTGAGCAATGATTCTGATAAACAAAAGCTCTGCTCAAATTATGAGACCGCTATATGTGTATAGAATGCTTGTACGTAGATTACAAGAACAAGCTATTAATTTAAATAAAATAAAAAAAAAAAAGACAAAAAAAACACAATACAAAATATAATAAGGTGAAGAATATATGTTCAATTGCCACGAACTACAAGATTAACCAAGAACAACTACAAATTTACTTGTATAGGGTAAAATATGTTCATATTTAATGATCGCATGAGAAAGCACCACGTGGAGCTGAAGACAGAAGATAGTCGGGTCCGAAGGCAACGATCTCGTTTGTTATTGGAGAGAATGATATTTATAACGGCGAAATAAATGTCTGCCACCCAGTAGCATTTGGTGGAGAATATTCTACGACATTAAGTATATGGTCCGTTACAGAGAATATGGCATTCACTGCCTACCGTTATACATTCTTCGATGGCCCTCATAATTGTCATTAAAGAGGGGCTGGATCCTAAGACCTTGTTCCTTAGGTGCAACTATAAATAGTGAGCTCTATAATCATTGTAAAGGACACAAATTTTCTCACAAACATATACTATAGTCTGTTCAAAGCTCAATACAATTTTACCTTCTTGCTTATTTGTATTGTTATTACTGTCCCCGGAAGCTCTGTTCCCGGAATCAAGATTTCTGCTGTTTTTTCTCAACTTCAAGGCTAAGTCTTACATTTTTACTAATTTATTTATCATTTTGGGATCAAATCAATTCACTTGTCTATAAACCACATATAAATTACTGTACCGTTTTATGGGTAAACAGTTTGCCGCCCACCATGGGGCTTAGACAGTTGTGTAATTAAGTTGATCCTTGCATCTATTACTAACTCATTTAATTATTTGTTCTTAGCAAAAATAATAGAAAATGGCAGATAATGGTATCAACATCGCACACAATGTTGAGGCCCAGGGAAATCAGCCTCAGCACGAGAATTCAATCAATGATACCCGCAAGGAGGGAGACGCGGCCGCGCCGGTCCACGGCGGGCGATATCCACGACATGTTCGAGAGGCAACTCCTGATGATGCTGAAGACGAGCACATCGTTGAAATAGTAAAGATCTTGAAAGAGCAACAAGAGGCCATAATAGGCCATCTCACACGACAGGATCAGGCCATGACGGAGTTGAAGCAGGCGTTGTCGGGTGCTTCCAACAATGCGAATGGACGACGTCTAGTTCCTCCCGGTGCTCCCACAAATCAAACAACGTAGAGGGTCGACAACAACACCCCGAGGGGCGAGGTCGGCTTCGATGAGGCCGGGGGAAATGACAGTGGATCCGGTCACAACAACGAGAGTGATCCCTTTAAAATTGAACTCATGCGGTTTATGAGGGAAATAAACACCCAAATGGATCAAATTCTGAGCGCACCATAAGTGCTGAAAAGACCAGACTGAAAGAAGTATACTCAGTTGTCGTTCAAACCAAGCACGTCACCAGAATTGATCTCGAAGCGGTTAAAAATTCCAAACGTGCCAAAGTATGATGGGACTTCAGATCCTCAGGAACACATCACCACCTATACAACAGCAGTGAAGAGGAACGATTTAGCTCCACACGAGATTGAGTCAGTCTTATTGAAGAAATATGGGGACACCCTTACGAAGGGAGCCCTAACATGGTATTCGCCTTTGCCCGAGCACTCCATAGAATCCTTTGAGATGCTCGTAGACTCTTTCATCAAGGTCCATGCCGGGGCCAGAAAGGTACATGCCCGAAAGGACGACATATGCAGGATTGCACAAAGAGAGTCTGAATTGCTATGGGAATTCGTGACCCGATTCCAGAAGGAAAAGATGCTACTATCGGTCGTACCAGACGAATAGGCAGCTGAAGCATTCATCAAAGGTCTAAATCCGAGAAGTTTCGATGCTTCCCGAAAATTGAAAGAAAGTTTGCTCGAGTTCCAGGCAACAACTTGGGCGGATGTTCACAACCGGTACGAGTCAAAGATAAGAATTAAGGATGATCAGCTCGGTTTCCCGGAGTCGGCCAAGGGTCGGGACTGGGAGAAGAATAAAGAGAAATCAAAAGATGATTTCAACACAGATCGACGGTCTTCAAAAGGATGATTTTTTCCCTATGAATGGGCCAAAGGATGCGGCAGAGGTTTTCGGTTGGCAGATAGATTCGCCACTGATAGGAGAGCTGATCGCGGCCGGAATAATAGGTCATTGCAGGACAAGGATACATCGGGTTCTCGAGATTCTTCTTATCTTAGGTTTTCCGAATACAACTTCAACGTCAGTGTAGTTGAGCTGGTGCCGGCTATGCGAAACATTAAAAAAAAAAACACGGTTCTCGAAGCCAATAAGATCTCATCTCAGCCAAAGGGATCCTAATTTATGGTGCGAATACCATGGGACTAACGGTCACTGGACTAGGGACTGCCGGCATTTGCGCGAAGAGGTGGCAACATTGCTGAAAAATGACCATCTCAGAGAATTCTTGAGTGATCGGGCTAAAAACAATTACGGCCGCAATCGCGATAACACGGAGCCTCCGAAAGTAGGAGAGGATCCTCCACGTTTGACGATCAACATGATTTTTACAGGGAACGAGATTAATGGTGTGACATTTTCGGCGACAAAAAAGACAAAGGTGTCGGTAACCCACAGTAAGAGGCTACGGGAAGTCGCTGAGGACAATATTACTTTCACGGAGGAAGACGCAGATGGGCTACTGCTGCCGCATAACGATGCCTTGGTAATCTCTCTAAATGTCTTAGATTTTAAAATTAAACGTGTTTTGATGGACCCAGGAAGTTCGGCCAATATTATCCGGTGGAGATTGCTGGAACAAACCAAGCTGACTGGAAGTATTATTCCGGCCTCAAAACTCCTTGCCGGATACAATCTGGCAAGCGTTACAACCCGAGGAGAGATCTTGCTGCCCATGAATGCCGAGGGGGTGATGAAGACAACCCTTTTTGAGGCAGTGGACGGCGATATGGGTTACAATATTAACTTGGGGAGACCATGGTTGCACGAGATAAAAGTTGTACCGTCAACATATCATGAGTTGCTGAAGTTCCCAACTCCCGAGGGAATTAAACAAATAAGAGGAGACCAACCGGCGGCAAAGGAGATGAATGCAATCTCAGCTTCCAGTAGCAAAGGGAAGGAGCATGCAACATAGAAACTATAGGAGCCGACACCTGCTCCCAAGCCAAGTGAAGTCAACTAGGGGGAGGAGTCGTCGGAATCCTATCAGGTACCAAGATACTTCTAGGTACCAGAAGAAACGGACGCAACAAAATCCACGACGGGGGAACTTGAACAAGTCGCATTGTTCGAGAAGTTTTTAGAGAGGAAGTTCCACTTGGGGACGGGACTAAACCCCGAGCTCAGGTCTGGATTTATTGAATTCCTTAATGTTGACTGCTTTGCGTGGTCGCATGCGGATATGATAGGTATACCACCAGTGTTGGTCGTGCACAAACTAAGCTTGGATCCCAACATCCCTCCGGTAAGACAGAAACGTCATATTGCCGAGGTTAGAAACAAATTCGTCAAAGAAGAGGTAACTCGTTTGCTTGATATCGGTTCAATCTGAGAGGTGAAGTATCCTGACTGGTTATCTAACATAGTAGTAGTTCCAAAGAAGAATAATAAATTTTACATGTGCGTAGACTATAAGGATTTAAATAAGGCATGCCCAAAAGACCCGTTCTCATTGCCAAACATTGATCAAATGATTGATGCGACGGCCAGGCACAAGTTAATGAGTTTCCTCGATGATTATTCCGGGTACAACCAAATCAAGATAAACTTGGAGGATCAGGAAAAAACTTCGTTCATAACAAACTTTGGCATATATTGCTACAATGTGATGCCCTTCGGGCTTAAGAACGCCGAAGCCACTTATCTGAGGCTCGTGAACAAAATGTTTGAGAAACAAATAGAGAAAACTATGGAGGTTTACATAGATGACATGCTGGTTAAGTCTATAAACGCAGGTGACCATCTTAAATACTTGCAAGAATCCTTTGACATCTTAAGGAAGCATAACATGAAGCTTAACCCCGAAAAGTGTGTGTTCGGGGTTAGCTCCGGTAAGTTCCTGGGATTCCTGGTGTCATAAAGGGGGATCGAGGTTAACCCCGACAAAACTAAAGCAATCGAAGACATCCGGGACTAACTGTCAAGCGTAAAAGAGGTTCAAAGGTTGACAGGGAGACTGGCCGCTTTGAGCAGGTTCATTTCCCGGTCTTCGAAGAAATGCCATCATTTCTTTTCACTACTCAAAAAGAAGAACAACTTCGAATGGACTCTGAAATGTTAGCAGGCTTTGAGGGATTTGAAAATGTAGTTGTCAAGTCCTCCATTAATGGCAAAACCGGGGGAAGGCAAACAACTGTTGATCTACTTAGCGGTCTCGGAGGTAGAGGTAAGTGCCGTTTTAGTCCGTGAGGACAAAAGTACGCAATCTCCTATTTATTACGTTAGTAAAATTTTAATGACAGCAGAAACTCGCTACCCACATCTGGAAAAATTGGCCTTAGCTCTCATAGTTGCCGCTCGAAAACTTAGGCATTATTTCCAATGTCACCTGATAGTCGTGGTGGCCATTTTTCCCCTGTGGAATATTCTTCATAAATCTGAACTTTTAGTAGGCTGGCCAAGTGGGCCGTCGAAATGAGTGAATTTGACATAGAATATAAACCTAGGACTACGATTAAGTCACAAGTTTTGGCTGACTTTCTGGCCGATTTCAGTCTGGGACTGTTGCCTTTGGCTACCAAAGAAGAAGTTATGGTGTCAGAATCAACACCAATAGTTTGGACGTTGTTCACGGACGGAGTTTCCAATATGAAGGGGTCCAGGCTCGGCATAGTGTTACTCACGCCCTCGGGAAAAACCCTAAGGCAGGCCATAAGAACCATTTTTTTGACTAACAATGAAGCAGAGTATGAAGCTTTAATTGCAGGACTTGAGCTGACCTGGGGACTGGACTCCGAGGTCATAGAAATCAAATGCGACTCCTGATTGGTAGTAAATTAGGTCTACAGGATCTTCGAAGCCAAAGAGGAACGCATGCAATAGTATGTAGTGAAATTCCATGCTCTACTTGCTCGGTTCAGGGAATGGTCAATTATGCACATCCTGAGGGAAGAGAATGTGGAAGCGGATGCACTAGCTGATCTGGGTTTATCCATAAAAATAAAGGGACGGGACTCCGATACGGTCGTACAGCTTATGCACTTGGTACTGGACGCAGATAGCTATTACGAGGTAAACGCGACCAACTTGGTCTGGGACTGGAGAAATGAGATCATTGACTATCTCGAGCACAGAAAAAAATTGCCTGAAGATCCCAAGGCATCTCAGGCGCTACGTACTAAAGCGGCGTGATATAGTTTCAAGGGAGGTCAATTATACAGAAGACCTTTCCAAGGCACATTGGCCCGATGTTTGGGATCTTCTGAAGCAAATTATGTTATGCGAGAAGTCCACGAAGGGATATGTAGAAATCACTCAAGCGCGGATTCCTTGGTGTTAAAATCAATTATGGCAGGATACTACTGGCCGCAGATGGAACAAGATGCCAAGGCTTATGTTCAAAAATGTGATAAATGTCAATGCTAAGCACCATGGTACATCAACCGGTAGAGAGACTACACTCAGTTTTGTCGCCATGGCCGTTCATGAAGTGGGGGATAGATATAGCTGGTCTACTGCTACCGGCCCCTGGTAAGGTAAGGCTTCTTTTGATTTTAATTGATTATTTTTCTAAATGGGTTGAAGCAGGTCCTTATCAGAAGATCAGAGAACGTGAAGTAGTTCTTGGGGGAGAATATAATTTCTAGATTTGGGACACCAAAAGAGATAGCCTGCGACTACGGGCCACAATTTATAGGCGCTAAGGTCACAAAGTTCCTTGAAAACATAAAAATCAAAAGGATCACATCATCCCTTATCATCCGATAGCAAACGGTCAAGCAGAATCAACTAACAAGGTGATTATACAAAATCTCAAAAAGAGACTGGAAGCAGCCAAAGGAAAATGGCCCGAAGAGCTTCCAGGAGTACTCTGGGCTAACGGACAACGGCCAAATCAAGCACGAGGGAAACTCCTTTCGCTCTTGTGTACAGAATAGAAGCCCTGATCCCGGTGGAAGTAGGAGAACTTACCCTGAGATATTTTCGAGCGGACGAAGAAACAAACAATGAATTGGTTGGTCAAATTGGAGCTGCTCGACGAACGCAGGGACTTGGAGCATATAAGGATGGTAGCCTAAAAGTGGAGAATGGAAAGATATTACAATCAAGAGCCAACCTCCGGTATATCAAAGTAGGAGACTTGGTTTTAAGGAAAGTAACTCAGAACACCCAAGAGGCTCAATGCAGGGAAGCTGGGTCCAATGTGGGAAGGCCCCTACCGGGTTTCAGCTGTTACCAGAAAAGGGTCATACAAATTGAAAATCAAGACGGAATAAAGTTGCCGAGCAACTGAAACGTGACACACCTCAAAAGATACTATTGCTGATGAGCCTCGCCTACACTAAAAGTATGTGCTGCACTCTTTTTCCCTTCATCTTGTTTTTGTCCCAATTGGGTTTTTCTGGCAAGGTTTTTAACGAGGAAGCAACAGAAAGCATACTATGAAGGAAGCTTCGTCAACAGAAATTAGACCTTAAAACGTCAAGGCACGCAAACGACAGATCACTACGGAGCGGTTAGATAATATTTGGCTCGGTAGTAAAAGTTCCTACCGGGAAGTAAAATTTCTATTGGACAAGGGTTACCCAACTGTTCACCAATGCAAGCTACTAGGGGGTTGTTAGATAGTCTTTGGCTTGATAACAATGTTCCTAAGGGGAAGTGAAGCTTGTTACCGAACTAAAGATTATCTAACCATCCACTAGTGAAATCTCAAAAGGATCAAGACTTCCAGTGTTCAAATTCGCATTCTTCGCATTTGAACACTAGGGGAGAATGATATGAGGATACGGCAACAATGACTGCCACATCGACCAGAATACGAAACCCGTAAACAAAGTTGTATCATCGGGACCAGGGACTGTGTGGCCAGCCCCGTAGGAACAAGTTGTACAAGTTAGCCACAAGTAAGGGCAATTTCTTTTTAGCACAACGAGTGCGTATGTACTTTTGAAAATAAAAGGATAAAGTAAAGTCCTTTTATTTTTATCTTGTTTCTTGTCTGAACGATGAATTAATTTTATCATTTGAAAGTTAAACAAGTACTTCAAATGTTAATGTCGTAAAGAACGGGAGGTGTCCTCTTCAAGACCACCGTAAACATAAGAGGGTCCTCTCTTATAAAACCCTCACATTAAAGGGTTGATTTCGGAAGAACTTATGCCCAGAATCTAAATGCTCTCGGGGAAAAAAACACCCGAAGCCTTGCACAATTCGACGCAAAGAGTAAAACTTGCACAAATACTTAAACAAAAAGTATGCAAAGAGAAAAATTTGCACAATACTTAAATGAAAAGTACTTCTATTCACAGCAAATGTTCCAAGTAGCACAAATACCAAAGTATGGAAAAGAAAAGAAAGAAAAAACTAAGCTACTGATCCTCTGGAACTCGGAGGAAGAGAAGCATCTGCACCCCCAGAAGAAGTGGGTGGATCAGCCGCCGGCTCAATATCTTGGCCTTCACTATTTTGGCCTTCAGCATCATCACCTTCCGCTTCTTTTTTAGTTCCCGAGAACTCAAAACCAGAACCAGAGGAGTCGTTAACACCAGGCCGGGCCGGAAGACCCCATTTGGCAGTTGACTCCAGCTCACGGGCCTTAGCGATTTCGGCATCAAAGTCAATGAAACCCGCTTTGGCCTCTTCCAAGGTTTTTCTCCTCATTCTATACATAGCATATGTTTTTTCGACAATGAGGGAAGCTGCTCGGTGCTGGAGTTCTTCTTTAAGTAGGTCAACCTTGGCAGAAAGGTTATCCTGCGCGGATCTGGTGGCCGGGAGGCTGACATCAAGGTCGCGGACAGTGGAGCTAAAAACTCTATTGTGCTCAATGGTCTTCTTATGCTTCTCCTCCAACCTGGTATACTTCGCCTCTTCGGTAGTAACTTCTTCAGTTTTGGAGTTTAAGGCTGCCTCCAAATTATTCAATCTTTCTGCAAAGGCAGCCTCACGATCGGATGCAGCAAGAACGACATT